GCGCTTCCGCATGGCTCACGCAGGAATGAATGAATGGCTGGGCGCTGCCTCTTGATTTATACTTCTGCGGCTCGTTGGTCTGGCCCTTTCCCATGCCCGAAGTGCACACAGTCCCATGCGGTACTTGCTTGACTGGGACAGGACTGCCTCAGCACGGGCAGACTCCACCACTTGCCTCACCACTTGCCCACTTGCCTCAGTCTAAACGTGGACAACTTCGAAAGGCCACTACTGGGACCTTCCGGAAGGCCGTAGACTTGGCCTTTCGTGACTGTAGCAACTACGACTTTGACCCTTCTGGACTGTAGCAGCTACGACCTTGACCTTTCGGGAAAGCTACAGCTACGACTTCTAGCCCTGACTAAGACTCCTACTCGACAGGTCGACAGATCGAACCCCTGCTACCTATAGACCCTACGGCCACCTACCAACTGTTACAAATACACAGGTCGCGGGTTCAACTCTAGGGGTCGACACAGATACTGTACACAGGGGAGGTGGGGGCTGGGGGGGGCTAGGGATCGAGCCCTGGGATCTGCATCAGCTACTGCGAACTGGTGAATACCGTTTCACTCCCGCCGGCCTAAATTCGAGGTCCTCAGAGAATAACTCGATCCAAGGCAGGACCTTTACCTTTCTGATCTCTTTCGTAGGCCTTAACTATATCGGGAGCTGTTTCTAGAAGTTTTGCTCTAGTGAAGCAGCGGTCATCCTCCGGCTCCTAATAAGTGAACCGGACCTTGTACTGTTTCTGTGGACGACCTCTACCTCCTGTTCTGAACACATCTTCACCTACAATGCCGTCAATGTCATATCTCCCGTCCATGTCTGGGGGGATCATGGACCGTCTAGATGGAAACTGTTGACTTGTGACACGCGGCAACAACTTTGATGCGTGAAAGACGGGGTAGGTATGGAGGTGTGCTGGGATCTCTATAGTGTAGGACGGCCCATCCTCTCCGCCCTTAACTTCCAGAACCGGCCACGGTCCTCTATATGCGGGCAGTAACTTTTGCGAGATGTTCTCCTCAGGTGCAAACTCTTTAGACTTGACCCAGACCAGGTCGCCTACCTGAAACTGTGATGGGCGACGGTGCTTATTAGCCTGCTCTATCATCCGGTGATGGGCCTTCCTGAGGTTCTCAACAACAGTGGCTATCTCTTTCTTGTGCTGTATCGCGAACTCCCTGGTACCGGGCGGTAGCTTGTGAATCTGATCCCGGTTGAGTCCTTCAAACGGTCTACGCGGTCTAAAGGACTTGTGCAATTCATTGGGAGTGCGACAGGTGGACAAATGCACGCTGTTATTGTATGCACTGGCTACCTTGGGCAACATCTCATCCCGGTTAATCTGATCGGGTCTAATGTACATATGCAGAACTTGATGTAGGATCTTGTTCATTTGCTCTGTCTGACCGTTAGTCTTTGGATGGCGGCCATATGACATCAACAACTTAGATCCGTAGACTCTCATCAGTTCCTGCCAGTTCTGGCTAGTAAAACGGGTATCTCTATCACTCACAATAGACAATGGGACGCCATGCTCACTAACCCAGAAATCGAAAAACTTCCAGCTCACTAACTTTGTACGTGCCTCTGCAGGCAAAAGAACAAAAATAGCGTACTTGCTAAATCTATCAACTACGACCATGACTTGGCTCTTGTCGTGTCTACTCTTGACACCGGCATCCATGAAGTCAATGGAGACTGAGTCCCCAGGCTGATCTGGACTGGGCAAGGTCTGAGAAGACCTAGAGGGGCACGCGTAGTAGTCTTATTTCTCTGACAAACTTTACAAATGCGGACATACTCTATGCAGTCGTTTTTCATTCCTGGCCATGTGTACGCGTGCATCAGATTGGCTAAAGTCTTTTGCCAACCAAAGTGTCCCTCTGTATCATGGCATTCCCCTAGGATCAGACTGCGGATCTCCTCACTATTGGGAACGCATAGGCGGTCTACTACGTTAGTCTTCTCAAATAATAACCCCTCTGTAGTGCGGTAATCTGGCTCAGTCTTTGGGGCCTCCTTGACTCTCTTGAGGAGGTCACTATGGATAGGAACCTGTGCATACGCCTGTCTAACTCTCTCTTGCAGGTCACTCCCTATGTCCAGATAGTGAACTATAGCTCCAAAGTAGTCTGATCTCCTACTCAGAGCATCCGCAACTACATTATACTTGCCCTTCACTGGCTTGAGCTCGAAGTCATACTGGTCTATCTCAGCGGCCCACCTAGTCAACTTAGGTGTCATTTTGGCCTGTGTCTTCAACCATCTAAGAGTCTCATGGTCGGAGTACACCTTGAAGTGCCTCCCGAGCAGGTAATGCTTCCAGTGCTCTAAGGCCTGCCTAAGAGCGTAGAGTTCTCTCTCGTACGTCGAGGTAGCAACCTTCTCTGAGGGCATCCTTGCTGACATGAACTCTATGGGTCTATAGCCATTGCCATCGTCTTGCTGTAACACGGCGCCTATTCCATACTGGCTCGCGTCCGTGATGACGACAAATGGCAAGGACGGATTTGCCACTTTGAGGACAGGGTACTCTATTAACGCGCGCTTTAACTTCTTTAGCGCAGACGTACAGTCTTTATCCCACTGCCAGATTGCTTCTTTCTTGAGCAACCTGCGAAGGGGAGCGGCAATAGTGGAGAAGTTCCTCACGAACTTCCTATAGTAGTTAGCTAGGCCTAGGAACGACCGCAACTCTGTCAACGTGCGGGGCGTTGGCCAGTCTCTAATTGCCGCTATCTTACTGTCCTCTGGCTTAATTCTGTCTCCGTCTAATACGTGGCCCAAGTACAGGACTTGTGTCTTGGCCCACTCGCACTTCTTCGCATTGATCTTGAAGTTAGCCTCTCTCAGCTTCTCCAAGACCTGCCTCAAATGACCCTGGTGCTCCTGGAGGGTCCTACTGAACACTAAGATATCGTATAGGTATACTACGACGAATCTATCCAACCAAGGCCTAAACAGGTCGTTCATACGACGCTGAAACGTAGTTGGCGCGTTGGTCAGTCCAAAGGGCATTACTATGAACTCGTAATGCCCATAACGAGTCCGGAACGCAGTCTTGTACTGGTCATCAGGATGGACCTCTATCTGATGGTAGCCGGACTTCAAATCTATCTTTGAAAAATACTTACAACCTTGCACCCGATCTAAGAGATCGTCTATCGTGGGCAGTGGTTCAACATTTTTTACTGTAATCGCATTCAGACCCCTATAGTCTATACACATGCGCAACTCTCCTTCCTTCTTGGGGACAAACAGAACTGGTGCTCCAAAAGGCGACGAACTGGGCCTAATCCAACCTTTCTCAAGGAGCTCGTCTAACTGCTTGCACAAGTCCTCTAACTCTCTAGGGGACATCTTGTAGATGGCTCCTTTAGGAGTTCGACTGCCAGGCTCTATCTCTATCCTGTGCTGGATCGGCCGCGGCACCACTCCTATCGACGGCTCAGATAAATCTTTGAACTCTTCCAGCAGCTTGGCAATGGCTGGATCCATGGGACTATCCCCTTCCTTAGGCTCAGTGACAGATCTAACATATACTACGAAGACCTGATCCTTTAACTGCTCCTTTTTTACTAATCGCGCGAAAGCGGGAGCACTGAGACAACAATGTGCCAAGGAGTTGTCTACTCCTGCCACATGGAAAAGGCGGGTAGTCTTAACCTCGCCAGACGGACTCGACAGCCTACACTCATGCTCTTGCAAATGGATTGTGGCCCCTGCTGCCTCTCACCAGTCCATGCCTAAGACTATGTCAAACGGAAGGTCATCCTGTACGAGGAGAGTCAGGGAATGGAGGACTTTCTTCACCTTCCCATCTTTCTCTAGGCGGAAATACGCCTGGACTCCCTCTACGTAGTCCTCAACTCGCATCGTGCGGTTATCTGCGAGGACACTGACTATGGGGTCTTCCAACTTTTGGACTTTCAATCCTAGCCTCAACTTTTTCAGTGCTTTACGACTAACATAACTGCGGGTGGCCCCTGAGTCTATAAGGGCCCCTACTCTACTCATGAAAACTTCTACATCTACTAACACTAGCTGCCCTTTACTATCTTTCTTCATCTTGGCCCAGGCAGGCATCCTCTCTTTCAATTCCTTTGCCACGCCTGTGAGGTACGTGCCTAGAGAGACGTTGACACAGGCAGTCTCTGGACAGCTAACTAGGCACGGGCCTGCAACCTTTGCTGAAGGCTCATGTGGTGTGGGAGTTTCCTCTGTGCGCGCGCTCGCTTCCCCACATGGCCTAGAAGTAGGGGCAGTTGCAACCCCTACCGGCGGCTGCCTTTTGACTCCTGGGCAGCCCACCGAGCCTGTCTGTATTTAGGACAGTATTTAATGATATGGGCAGGGTCACCGCAGTAAATGCATTGCCCCTGCTCCATCCGTTGCTGCCATACTTTTTGGTCCAGGCCCAGATCTTCCCATGGTCGGCCTTGTGGCCAACCCGGGTGCCAACCCCCTGACCTTTGAGGTGACCTGCCACCTCGTCGCTGTGGGGACCGACTAGGACCTTGGCGATTCGGCGGGGGACCTTGACCCCTACCTCCCGCTTGACGGTTCCCTTGACCGCCAACCCCCTGTGCGCCCGACCCTCGGCCTCCCATGGCCTGGCCCCTTTGGCCCTGGCCTCCTCTGCCCTGCGGCCTCCCTCCAGCCGCTACAGCAGCATAAGACCTCCCCTGTCCTACGCTGCTGTTCTCCTCCTCAAGTCCCCACTCAATCTGGCTATAGGGGACCTCATCAGTACCACCTTCCTCCAATGTAAGGATCATGTGATCCTTGGCCCTGACTTGGCCAGAGATGGTACGACCTTTCCACTTTTTACCTTTGTCCAAGTCTTTGTGCCAAAAAGTGGAAACTGGCATTGACTTGGCTTCAAACAGCACCACCTGTCTACTTAGCGCATCGTACGCCATCGTGGGCTATTGGCTCTTGTCAAAAAAGTGCCCTCGTAAGGGCTCGACATGGCACGATAGAAGAGTTGGACTAGTTGGGGCTCAGTAACCCCATGGTCCGTGACGGCCACCAGGTCGTCCATAACAGCTTTGAGTGCCCTTGCACTCTTCCACTGCCGCGAGTGGATGGTTTGGAGCTTATCAGAGGCTATGACGCCTCTTCTCAGATCAGCAACTCGCTCCCTTAGGAGCTTGAGGAATTGAGAGAGGGGGGTGACTTTGGAATAAACGACCATGTTGTTTTCACAACCGGCCGCACGCACGAGGGACGTAGCGAAACTAGCCGCCTCGTCTTTGAGGGCCTAGAAGGCCACCAGGACCTGATCGTCCTGTGCAATCAACTGTAGGTGTATATAGGTGTTCACACTAGCCTCCCAATTATCAAAGTTCTCCTCCGACTTCCCACCGTATGCATCTGGGAACTTCAGCTTGACTGGTTCCCTGCGGGGTCTGGACTCACTCTCAGTGGTGGCCACTACCTTGGCCCCCTCAATGGCGCCCTCACAAAACTTCCTTACGCACTCTTTTAATCCTTTCACTTCGGCCCCAACGTGGGTCACCACGTCACGCGCAAACTCTCTAAAGCCAGCCCGCATGGCCTGCAGGGCCACATCGTGCCCCCTGTTGCTTTGACGTTCCTCCAGCCAAGCCTCACTTAGCACCTCCAGGTACCCTACAATCTTATCTAACTTGGCAGGGACCTCTGCTTGTGCCTGCAATTCTTGCCTGCACCCTCGTACTTTCTCCACCTCTGCAGCCAATCGGGCAGCTTCCTCCCTCCTTCTCTTCTTCTCCTTCTTCATGCGCAGCTTCCACTCCAACTTTTTCTCATCTTCTGTCTCTTGACATTCTAGGGGGTCATCTATCATTTCCAAAGCCCTGGCAAACGCCTCCTTCTCCTCCTGTGGCACATACAGTTGCGCCTCCTCATCTTCTCCCAAAGACAAATTTGCCACCCACTCACTAATCTTTTTCTCCATCTTTGCGTCTTCCTCCTTCATGTTACTGCTCTCCCCTCTTTCTTCCCTGCGTCTTCTCTCAAGGCGCTCTTCTTCTTCTACTTCTGCTGCTTCTTCTTCTTCAACAGCCTTTCTTTTTTCTTCCTCCTCCTGCTGGATCCTCATCATCTTCTCCTCCAGCTTCTTCCTTTTCGTTGCCTGCTCCTCTGCGATCGCCTTTAGCTTCGCCTGCTTCAGGAGCTCTTTCTTTTCCCTATTCTCTCTCACTAGGGCGGCCATCTGCTCCTATTGAACCGCAGTATAGGGGCTAGTACTCTTCCCACTACGGATGTCAACCATGGTGACAAGTGTACAACCGGATCAACGGTTCCAAACCTCACCACTTAGACTCTAACCCTTGACTGACAACCTACTGACTCAATCTAAGGACTTACAAAATCCGGACAAGGATCCTGTCAACTATGGTCTCTAGCCTAGACCTACTCTATGGCTGTCACTACAAGACCTATTGCTGATCAGGAGGCATTTAAGGAGATCCCCCGTAACTCCTCAGGAATTCTTTAACGTCACAGACAGGGCGACGCGATCAGCAGGTTTTCTCAAGACTTAGACGGCCTGTTGTGCAGCCCACAGCTCACATTTCGGGCCTACCGTGCCACACCGAGCAGACCGCCGGTCAGTACAAGTCCTTGGGAGGGTTCGTATCCTCCGGGACAGTCGAGTCGTCAGACAGTCTTTAGCCCTACTCAGTCCGGCAGGGGTTTGGTCAACAAGGCCCTATCCTTCATCCACAGAGTTCCTACACCTGGACAAAAGAGACTCGATGCAGAAAGAAGAGACAGACAGACTTGACTTAGAAAGTACCACAGGGTGTGTGCACATCCGTAGGGTGAGGGGATAGGTTGAAGGCTTGGCGAGATTATACCGGCTCCAGCTTGGTCAAAATCGTGGTCAACAGCCTTGGTCAATGCTGGGTCAACGATGCTGACAACCCCCAGTCAACTCCCGGTCAGCGTCGGTCAACCCCGGTCAACACCTCCGGTCAACTCCCGGTCAACCCCGGTCAACGCCTGGTCAGCAGCTGGTCAACTCTCCCGGTCGGCTATGGTGGCCGGCTTCTCCTTCCTCGCCACCCTTCTCCTTCCTTTCTCCTTATCTCGCCTCCTTTCTCTTCTACACCCCGTCTGTCTTTTTTTTTTTTTTTTTTTGATCGCCTCTTCTTTCTCCTCCTCGGCTATGGCTTCTTTCACCTTCTTCCACCTCCTCCTCTGTCCTCTCTCTCTCTCTCCTCTTCGTTACTCCGTGGTCAAGCTCTGCGGCTATGGCCACCTCCTTCTTCCTCGTGGGGCTGCACGGCTCACTTCACAGGTAAGTGACAACCAAACTTGTAACGCTCATCTCTCTCCTCTCTCTCTCTCTCTCTCTCTCCCTCTCTCGCCGTAGCGATGTCTTCAACGCAGGTACGTGGTAAGCCAATCTTGTATCGTTCAACCTTTCTCTCTCCTCTCTCCCTCTCTCTCTCTCTATCTTCCTCTTCGTCGAGGTCCTCTCTGCAGGTGTGCGCGGCGGCTTCTTCAACATCCCAGTCCGCTATGGCGGACTTCTTCTCTCGGCGGCCACCTCAGCTATGACGCACCATCTCCCTGCGACACAACGCGGCGCGTGGAATAGCGGGTACCAGCTCCGATACCAATGCAATCAGACTCGCTCTCATTCACACTTCTCATGCATACAAACAGGTGCGTAGCAAACTGGCGACAAGCGCCCACTCAGAACTCAGGGATATGGNCAGACTCGCTCTCATTCACACTTCTCATGCATACAAACAGGTGCGTAGCAAACTGGCGACAAGCGCCCACTCAGAACTCAGGGATATGGCAACCAAAACGCAGCTCAGATTCAAGTTCCCTTCAGATGGCTATGGCGACTCAGCGCCCACACAACTCTCGGTTCGCATACACCGGGTCACCCTGGATATCCCACACGCGATACTCTGAACACACACACACACATACACTGAACTCTACCTACAGCTATGGCGGCTATGGCCGCTGCTACCCTATCGCTATGGCTAAACTTCGTCTCGCTGCCCACTTCGTCTTCGGGCTTACTGCAGACCACCTAGCACAAGTCGCTGGGGCAGCGCTTCCGCATGGCTCACGCAGGAATGAATGAATGGCTGGGCGCTGCCTCTTGATTTATACTTCTGCAGCTCGTTGGTCTGGCCCTTTCCCATGCCCGAAGTGCACACAGTCCCATGCGGTACTTGCTTGACTGGGACAGGACTGCCTAGGACTGGGACTGCTGCCTCAGCACGGGCATACTCTACCACTTGCCTCACCACTTGCCCACTTGCCTCAGTCTAAACGTGGGCAACTTCGAAAGGCCACTACTGGGACCTTCCGGAAGGCCGTAGACTTGGCCTTTAGTGACTGTAGCAGCTACGACTTTGACCCTTCTGGACTGTAGCAGCTACGACCTTGACCTTTCAGGAAAGCTACAGCTACAACTTCTAGCCCTGACTAAGACTCCTACTCGACAGGTCTACAGATCGAACCCCTGCTACCTATAGACCCTACGACCACCTACCAACTGTTACAAATACACAGGTCGCGGGTTCAACTCTAGGGGTCGACACAGATACTGTACACCTGCCAAGTACATGCCATGCCAACTCGAGCCCTGGGATCTGCATCAGCTACTGCGAACTGGTGAATACCGTTTCAGGTCAGGTGTCCCTTACGAGACTGTACTCACTCAACACTTCCTCCAGTTATGGCCAGAACCCTGAGACCGCAGCATGATTACTTCCTCATAAGGAAGGATTTACCTCTGCTCCACCCCTGCTTTCCTGTATCCATTTCTCACTCACCGACTCGCTCACCCACTTCCTCACCCACCCACTCACTCACTAACTCCCACCCACACTCCCCTCAACCCCCACACTCCCTTCCTCACTCACTCCCCTCGCTCCACTCACCTTCCCTTGCTCACCTCAGTCACTCATGCACTCACTCACCTACCGACTCACCCACTGAGTGCAGTCATTCACTTAGTCACTCACCCTCTTCACCTCCCTCACCTCCCTCACCTCCCTCACCTCCCTCACCTCCCTCACTCACCAACCCACTCTCTCACTCATTCACCGACCCACACCCACTCATGCACCAACCAACCAGCCAGCTGACCAGCCAACCAGATTGATTGGTTGGCATGGCATGGCATCTCAAGGGGTTGTTACAATCCCCTCAGGATGAATCCCCACGAAGCTTCTGACCCATAAATGAATGTTCAGAATGGTGGATCACAGAAGATTTGCACTTGACATGCAGTCGTCCGAATAGCAACAGACTTATTTGCGCAAGCATGCCAGCCGTGTACAAGGCCATTCATGCTGTTTGCCCTTATCACATGCCATGCGATCCACATGGCCTGTCTCATTGCCATTTTTGCGTTCGAGTGTGTTAATGTGTAGCGTTGATTCTGTGTTCATGTTCTGCTCCGCGGCCACTAGCAAACTGTGTTGCCTGCAGTGAATAGAGGGAGGGAGGGAGGTGAGGTGAGGTCAGACACAAGATTGAAAGAAAGCAGAGGCTGCGTTCAAGGGAGCATACATGAGTTTTAAGTTTTAATTTTAAATGCATTAATGGAATTCTGGTCATGGCATAACGGATTTTTAACGGATTTTTAGATATTGGGAGGAATAGCCAATAAGAAGCACCTGAGTTGTACCTTAAATTCTGATATGCAAAAGTACCAGAATAAGTCATGAAACAGCTTAATACTGAGATCTGACAATGCCCATTTCTTCCATTTGCTCTTTGTCTTCTGCGTCTGCAAAGCAACAGAAAACATCACCGTAAATAAAGGCCAGCATATCAACCGTTGCTAGAGGGTAGTACAGCCAGCAGGACAAGCAGCCAAAATTGTATAGCCTTTCTTCTTCGTCTTGTTGTTCTTTGCTAGAAGGTAGTACAGTACAAAGAACAACCGGGCAAATTTGTATGGCCTTCTACTTCTTCTTCTTCTTCTTCTTCTTCTTCTTCTTCTTCTTTGTCTTCGTCTTCGTCGTCGTTGTCGTCTTCGTCTTCGTCTTCGTCTTCGTCTTCTTCTACGACCTCCTTTTCCTCCTCCTCCTTCAGTTAGTTGGATGCAATCAGTCTTTTGTTGACGATGTGCACTTGTCAGACTCTGAGAAATCGCAAAGAATGTGGAAGCAGGTCAAAGCGTACACTCTTTTTCAGGCCCATTCATCTGCTCCCAGAATGTTTTGCTGTTTTTTTTTTTAATTTTCTCCGCTTCAGATGCTCGCTTTTCTATAATGAGCATCTGTTCCACTTCTTTGCTTTGGACAGATTTGCAGACAGAGTGTGGCATACTGCATAGCCACACGGGCCCTGCAGGGCCCGTCCCGGACATTCAGCCTAAAAGCCTAAAACTTAGGGCTTACAGGCCCCGTTCGTTTCAGCCTGGATGCTGAAAAACGAGGGCCTGCAGGCCCTACCTCGTTTCAGCCTATTTCTGGGTCTTTTCAGACCCAGAGTTTTCAGCCTGAAACGGAGGGCCATTTTCAGGCCCTCATTGTTTCGACCTGCCCCTAAGACTCAGGCACTTAA